TTCATGAGTACAATAGTGTTTATGAATACAATACTATTCAAAAATACAATACTATTCACAGATACGATTATTATTTATAAATATAATTTTTGTTTACGTGAAATAGTAAGAAGTTATTGTTCGTGGTAGAAGCAATGACGGTGAAGTTCGAGATTAAGAAATTTAACGGGAGTAATTTCTCACTGTGGAAGTTGAAGATAAATGCTATCTTGAGAAAAGAAAATTACCTAGCGGTCATCGGTGCAAGGCCAGATTACGTCACGGATGATAAGAAGTGGAACGAGATGGACGTGAATGTTATTGCTAATCTCCATCTGGCATTAGCAGATAGGATGCTATTAAGCATAGAGGAGAAGATGACAACAAAAGAGATCTGGGATACTCAAATAAAGCTATATGAGGCAAAATCCATGCCCAACAAAATCTTCTTAAAAAGGAGACTTTACACTCTGAGGATGATGGAATCTACATTAATGACCAACCATATCAATACCCTAAACACATTGTTCTCCCAACTCACAACGTTTGAGCATGAAATCAGTGTGAATGAACGTGCAATGCTTCTACTTTAAAGTCTACCTCATTCGTATGATCAGCTCATCATCAATCTTATAAACAACGTCCTTACAGACAATCTAGTCTTTGATAACATTGCAGCCACTATTCTAGAGGAAGAAAGTCGATGCAAAAATAAGGAAGACAGGCGGGCAAATTCGCAACAAGTGGAGGCATTATCGGTGACGAGAGGAAGATCAACGGAACATGGCTCCAGTAGGAGTCATGCTCATGGTAGATCAAAATTAAAAATTAAAAAGAATATCAAATGGTATAATTGTGGCAAAAAGGGGCACGTGAAATCGGAGTATTGGCATAATAAGAAGAGTGGTGATAAAAAGTCTTCAAAGCCATCAATATCTCAAGGATGCTTTATCAGCACATCAGATGATGGTAAAATTTTATACAGTGGAGTAACCACTATTGATGAAGAAAAAAAGAGGTTTGCTGATGTCTGGCTTCTAGATTCAGCAGCCTCCTAGCACATGACCTCCCAGGAGAGAATGATTTTACAAATATGAACCTATCTCAGGAGGATCTGTATTCATGGGCAATGATCATATCTTGGAGATTTCTGGTATTGGCACTATCAAAATTAAAATGTTTGATGGTACAATACGCACCATTCAAGATGTGCAGCATGTGAAGGGCATGAAAAAGAATCTATTGTCTTTAGGACAATTAGATGAGCTCAGGTGCAAGACCCATATAGAAAATAGGATCATGATAATTGTTAGAGGGGTGCTTGTTGTGATAAAAGGAGAAAAAATAACAGCAAATCTATACATGCTTAAGGGAGAAACCTTGTAGGAAGCTTATTTATGTGTGGCATCAACTAGCCATAGAGAAGAACAAACTATGATGTGGCATCACAAACTAGGCCACATGTCAGAACGAGGCTTGAAGATTCTCTCCGATCAGAAGCTACTTCCTAGACTTAATTATGTAGCTCTTCCATTCTACGAACATTGTGTTACAAGTAAGTAGCATCGGTTGAAGTTCAACACATCGAGTTTTAGAAGCAATGCTATTATAGAACTGGTTTATTCTGATGTATGGCAAGCACTAATTATATTCATGGGAGGAGCAAAATATTTTGTGTTATTTATTAATAATTACTCCAGGAGATGTTAAGTGTATCCTATAAGGAAGAAGACAGATGTGTTCTCAATCTTTAAAGCCTACAAAGTGCGAGCTGAGCTTGAATCTAAAAAAAAGATCAAGTGTTTGAGGTCAGATAATGGAGGAAAATACACAGACGGTGAATTTTTTGCGTGTTGCAAGAAAGAAGGCATCAAAAGATAATTCAGTACCGCTTATACTCCTCAACAGAATGGAGTGGCGGAGTGGATGAACAGAACTCTGTTGGAAAGAACAATAACAATGTTGTCAACTGTAAATTTGGATAACGTCTTTTAAGTGAAAGCAATAAAAACCGTCTGTTATGTGGTGAATCGATCTCCAACAACCGCAATACAGTTAAAGACACCAATAGAGATGTGGACCGGTAAGCTAGCTGATTATTCCAATCTCCATATATTTGGATGTCTAGTGTACGTAACGTACAATGCCCAATAATTTATAAAGATGGATTCAAAATCCAAAAAATGCATATTCTTAGGATATGCTGATGGAGTAAAGGGGTATCGCTTGTGGGATCCCACTGCCCACAAGGTTATCATCAGCAAAGATGCTATCTTTGTAGAGAACCAACTACAAACTAAAGAAAAAGGAAACAGTTCAATGAAGGACTTAGAGACTGTAGCTGTTCAGGTAGAAAATGGTCCAAATTCTTCTGAAACAACACCAGAGCATGATGTAAAAGAACCAGTCGAGTCCGAGGCTCCAGAAGTTCGAAGGTCAACTCGTGAGAGAAGACCACCGATTTGACATTCGGAGTATATTACGAAGAGTAATGTTGCATACTATCTTCTAACAGATGATGGAGAGCTATTAACTTTTTATGAAGCTATAAATAGCATAGATGCATCTTTGTGGATGGCAGCAATGTATGAAAAATTAAAGCTCTCCATAAGAATAAGACTTGGGTACTTGTGTCACTACCACAATGAAGGAATGCTATTGAAAATAAATGGGTCTACAAGATCAAGTGAAATGGAGATGATCAAGTAGAGTGATATCATGCTAGATCAGTAATAAAAGGATATGCTCAGAAGCAGGTATTGACTTTAATGAAATATTTTTTCCTGTAGTTTAACTTACAACAGTCCGAATAGTCCTAACTATGAGCGCTATATTTGACTTACATCTAGAGCAGCTAGATGTGAAGATAGCATTACTTCATGGAGATCTTGAAGAAAAAATTTATATGCTCAAACCAGAAGGTTTTGAAAAAAAAAAAAGGAAAAGAGAACTTGGTTAGCAGGTTGAACAAATCTCTATATGATCTAAAATAGGCGCTGAGGTGTTAGTACAAGAGATTTGATTTATTCATCATGAGCCTTCGATACAACAGATTTAATTCAGACCCTTGTGTATATTTTAAGAGGTTTAGTAAAAATAACATTGTTATCTTATTGTTGTATGTTGACGACATGTTAGTTGTAGTCCCCAACAAAGATCGTATCAAAAAATTAAAGGCACAGTTGGCTAGAGAAATTAAAATAAAAGATTTAGAATTTGCAAACAAGATTCTAGGGATGTAAATTTACCGAGACATAATTAATAGGAGGTATTGGCTTTCTCAGAAGAATTATTTAAAAAAATCTTGCGGTGTTTTAACATACAAGATTATAAGTCAATTTCTACCCATCTTTTTGTTAATTTCAAGTTATCCTTTAATATGAATCCTAGTAGTGAAGAAGAAAGTATGGAGATGTCTCGAGTATCATATGCATCAATAGTAGAAAGTCTAATGTTCGCTATGATTTGTACAAGACCAGGCATTACACAAGCAATGAGAGTGGTTAGTCGATACATGGCGAATCCTGATAAAGAGCATTAGAATGGTGTAAAGAGGATCTTAAGATACATTAAGGGAACCTCAAATGTTGCATTATGTTATGGGAGATCAGATTTTATTATCAATGGATATGTTGATTCTGATTATGCATGTGATCATGATAATAGAAAATCCACCATAGGCTATATGTTTGCACTTGCTGGCAGAGCTGTAAGCTGGATTTCAAAACTACAGTCAGTTGTGACTATGACTACATTAACAACAGAAGCAGAATATGTTGTAGCGACACAAGCTAGTAAAGAGGCGATATGGTTGAAGATGGTGTTGGAGGAACTCGAGCATGAATAAAAAAATATTTTTCTATTTTGTGATAGTCAGAGTGCTTGACATTTGGTAAGAAATTCAGCATTTCATTCAAAGACAAAGCATATTCGAGTTTAGTATCACTTCATTTGTGAGAAAGTGGAAGAAGGAGCAGTGGACATGCAGAAAATTCACAACAAATATAACCTAGTAGATTTTTTGACAAAATGAGTTAATACTAATAAATTTATTTGGTATCGATCCTCTTGTGGCCTGTCCGAGACGTGAGCAACATGAAGATGACAAGATAGAAAGAATGGTGTGAAGATATGATTGATACTCAATCAAATCTTCAAGTGGGTGATTGATGGAAAGTTTGTGTCTACAGTAAACATCTATCCGCTACAGTAATTACCAACCGCAGACCCACTAACTGTTATTGTAGCAACAATGCGCACCTACCAAAAACTCGCCTGTATATAGCTCTCACTGGCATTAAGTTCTGATCATCTCAGTGTCTCCAATTGAGAGTGAAAAGAAAGAGAGAGAGAGAGAGAGAGAGAGAGAGAGAGAGAGAGAGAGAAATAAAGAGACTTTCTCCTTGAAAAAGAGAGATTGTAACTCCTAAGTTTTTCCTCATAGTGGATTATTCTATCATTGCCCATGGTTTTTACCCCAAATTCATTTAGGGGGTTTTCTACGTGTGTTTATTTTATTACTTCTTCTCTACTATTCACTGGGACCTTGCTCTATTTGGTCCTGAGTTTGTCCCTACACCACTCGTTCCCAATCTTACGAATCATTGAACTTCACTCAGAAGAAAGATACACATCCTCACAATATCAAACACGTCAGTAAATGCCAAATCAAAACAATAGCTAACTTCATATGCTAGCTTACAGGACTGTAAATTTTTTATAGAAGTCACAGCAGCAAAATTATCTATAACTTCAGGCATCATACTATGAGAAACAACAAGAAACTAGGAGCCCTGCACAACTATGGGAATTAACCATCTACCTTGCCCTATATAATTTCTAAAACAAACGACACCAACTGAAAGAAGTTGGAGATTTAACATCAAAGAATTAGAGCCAAGTGCTTCAGCCTCTTCAGGTTTTAAAATTTCAAATTTCAAGATAAAAACCTCCATTTTGCCATGCTACATTTGAACAAAAGTGTCAAGAATACGGCACAATTACAATAAAACAAAGCAGCAGAAAAAAACTTCCGATAATCTCATTTCAATAAATTTAAATCAATGAGTATATAAAACTCAACCAAATACTTATGACTTTGGATATGGACACTGCAAACAAAATTTGCTGGAGAATACTCCATTAAGCAGAAATTATTTAAATATTAAAACACTCGTCAAGGAAAAAATCTTTCTCATCGCCATCTATCAAAGTCCTTAAGCACCACCAGAACCATACTTCTTGCCGAACACAATCATCTGCAACTTGTCATAACCAGCAAGCACACCGGCACCTGCAACAGCACGGAGAATATTGGCACCAGCTCCCTTGAACAGAGATTTCGCTCCCTCGTTCTTTAGAATTTGACTGAAAGCGTCCATTGAGCTCTTGTACTTCACTGCTTCTCCAGAGGTCATCATCATTCTTCTTCGAACTGTGTCAATAGGATAGGATGCAAGTCCGGCACCGTTGGTGATCACCCATCCTAGGGCAAAGCTAGCCCAAAAACTATCCTGAAATCATCAAATATGAGATGTAAGTACAAATTGAATGGGATTGGATAAATTACATAACCTAAAAGTCCAAAAAAAAATTTATTTAATTTATCTTTTTCTATCCTGAACTTTAGAAAGAGGTATATATCTGCGGCTCCCTTAATTTGTTTTCTTCTCTGAATCTGATTCTTTCTGAGTTTCCTCCACACATCTCCAGATGCCTTTTGCATCAGTCTATATGTTACTGTTGCATATATACTGACTCTTTGAAAGATCAAAATTTGTTATTATGTCGTTGATTTGCTAATATTGACTGATTATAACAGGTTGTATGAATGTAAATGAAAAGGATGATGAATGATCCTAGATATATCTGCCTTCAAATTAACTAAATTTGAGAATGACTATTGTTCTCATTTTGGGTTGAGTTATAAAACCATGAATAGTACTAGGAAGAATAGATGGCAAGGTCATGTGGTAAAAATGTCTAGAGGAATATATACAACAGACATAGGTCGATACAAATGTGAGAATCAGAGGTCAGGCATGCAGAAACCTCTTTACTTCCTACCATATTCCAAATTCAATTCCTTTCCTACTATAGAGTTCGAAAAGTTGACAAAATGCAACATACGTGAAATGGCATTGGAAGAACAAACAATTTTCTTTAGTTCTGATAACATATGTTAAACACTTAAACTAACAAAAAATGAATGAACCGTAAAGATTGATACTATCTGCATCATCCATTTTCTGATATCAAATGATTTATAACAGATTGCATGAACGAAATGAATAGAGTGAGATATGAATGGGCCTTAGTATATCTGCCTTCAAAATATGCAAACTTGTGAATGATGACTGTTATATCTCATGTTGAATTGGATTATAACAGTGGAAAGATAGGAAGAGCATGATGGAAGAATTTTGTAGTCGAGTTATTCATGTAATCGATATAGGTCTACACGATGTGAGAATCAGAGGTTTACAAATGCTAATACCTGTCTAGCTCCTACCAAACTCAAAGTTCAATTCCTTTCCTACCATAGAATTCTAAGTATACACAAAATGCAACATAATTAAAAAAAAAAAACTAGTTATACCTGCATTTTTCCTGTAAGGAGCACTGGCTTCAAAGAATCATACATTCCAAAATACAGCCCACGATAAACTATGATTCCAATGCAAGAAATGTTAAATCCACGGTAGAGTCCAGCAATACCATCAGATTTCAAAGTCTTTCTATAGACATCAATAAGACCATTAAATTGTCTTTCACCACCCCCTTTCGATGCCTTAGCATCGTTAGCTAAACGAGTACGTGCATAATCCAGAGAGTAAACAAAAGTTAGTGAAGAAGCACCAGCTGCTCCACCTGATGCTAAGTTACCCGCAAACCATTTCCAGTAGCCATCTCTGTCCTTCTTGAAGTTGAACATCCTCTTAAAGTAGTCCTTAAATGCAAAGTTTAACGCCTGCAGGAGATAGTTCATTTAATTATAACTAGAATAAAGAAATGAGATTAAAAGGTTGATTACACATACGGTGTTGAACATTATGTGGTTGAGTTGTAAGAGAGTACATGATTGTTATACTGCAATCTTTTTTTTGATAAATGAAGGCTGTGTATAATTGATGATGTTTCCATCTAATTTGAAAAGTATTGTAAGAGAGTACTTGATTGTTATACTGCAATCTTTTTTTTGACAAATGAAGTCAGTGTATAATTGATGTTGTTTCCGTCTAATTTGAAAAGTATACCCAATAAGAAATTAAAGATCAAACTTCTCACACCAAGTAAAGTAGGCAGGTAATATAAAGCTTACAAATGTTGGATTCTTTTGCGATATAAGGTCATAAGTAATCTTATGCTTAGATAGTGAAGATTCTTCCATTAATTTTCATTTGCAAGAAGTTGGAAGAATGTAAGTAGAAAAACACCAACCTGAGTTGGGAAATAACGGATAACATTCGCAGTGTTTCCTCTCCAAAGAGACCCCAGTCCTTCATCCTTCATCGTACGAGCAAAGCAATCACCAATCCCTTTATAAGGCTCCGACAATCTTCCAGCCTTAATCATCTCATCCTGATTTTGTATCAGCAACTTCACACGCTCAATCGGAGCAGCAGCAGTTTTTGAAACCGCAGCAGAAACTCCACCCATGAAGAAATCAATGACGAAGTTCTTGAATCCTTTCTCTGAGGGGGCAAAAGCAAAGACTGGGGAGGAAGTTTGCATTACAGAGCCTTGAAATAGAGAAGGATTGTGGAGTCCTCCATTGATGTAGCGTCTATTAAATTTGGGGGGTCTGGAAAAGTTCTGGTTTCGAGCGTGGAGATCTTGTGAGAGGATGGAACTGAGATGGAACTGGCCTGCGGACTTTTGACTGATGCTGGGGTAGTTTGTTTGGTCGGCCATAGCTCACTTGCTGTTGACAGAATATCAATACTTTTCAGGTACTTTATCATAGTTCAGTTAGTAAAAGAATGCATCTGAGTAACCATAGATATAGCTAAACAGTGTCATAGACTGCAATATAATGCTCTAAAAATATAGCTAGTAAGCCATGATGATTACCAGGGACAGAAAATTGATGATTATATATGAAAATTGGAACAAATACAAAATCTATGACTAGTTACTAATTTAGCATCCAATTTAAACCAAATTCTTACTTAAAACATGGCCTCTTCCTGTTAGTTGCATCTTTTGTATCTAAGTAGGGGGAGAAATGGGTAAGCGACGAAACAATCATCTATCTGTTGTTGGTTTCTTCATTTAGTTATGGATCCGCACAAGCCATGCAAATGTATAGCCAAAAGCATTCAAATGTTTACAACATATAACAGAATTATGAAAACTGCATGATTAGATCATTACAACTAGCCCTCAAAATCTAAAGGCAAAGAATGTCTACTTGTACCAAAGGAGTAAAAGATTATGCTAAAAGGGATGTTTGAAAAAAAAAAAAAAAAAGAATAGTACTTGTACCAAAGGAGTAAAAGATTATGCTAAAAGGGATGTTTGAAAAAAAAAAAAAAAAAGAATAGTGATGATCTAAGAGTGTAAAGATCCATAGAAATTATGAGAAGACTATATAAAAGTGCGAAAGGATATAACATCCTTAATATTTCTCTGAGATCATTAGTATGTTTTTTCTAAGAGTGCATCACGGAAAAACTTCTAATCAGCATAGATTCGAGAACAAGATTTGATGTAAAGGATTATCAAATTGCATAGACTATTTGCATCCATCACAAATCGTAAAAATTAAAGAACAATAAATTAAAAAAAAGAAATCATGCAGTAAAACAAACCTTGGAGGGATCTGATCTGAGTGAGAGAAAAGAGATCCAAGAAACAAGTAAGAGAAAGAGCAACAAGTTGGAAAGAGGCTCAACTACCGTATTTAAACGGTTTCGAATGGTGTGAAATCAAGGAACGGAACTCTTCTTGAGGCGCCATAATCGGAGCCATCAGTAAAACAGAAAATGAGTGAAATAAAAATTCTGATTCTTTTTTGAAAATTAATTTAGTTTCTTTTTTTTTGGTAACCATTTATTTTGTTCTATATGGTCAAATAAAAAAAAATCGGAAATTAAGAATATCCAGGTCAAAAAAAAAACTTTTGTTGGTTGATATAATAATTTGTTAGACCTATTTCCATTAACCCAAAAAAAAAGCTGAAACAACCTAAAGAATATTTTGTTTCTCGGTTACTCTTTGATAATTTTTGTTCACTTTGATTAAGTATTTTTGGTTTATTTTCTTACTAAAATTTGTTCATCGATTACACTTTGATTATTTATTTATTTGATGTTTGTTTGAATAGGCTACACCCATTTTAAATTTTTATGTTGATAGTTGAATTGTCAGGAGATAAATATAATCTAAAGTCAATTTAAATTTTATTTCATTTAGATCGGCATGAAATCGAGCTTGACCTGAGGAATTATAGTGCTATGAAAGTAAAAACACTCGAAAAAATTACATTATAAAAGGTAGATGAATAATAAAGCCAACGAGCCAAGATGATTGATTTAAAGTGGGCTAAAATGACAAAAAATAGTTAATAAAAAAATCATAAACTAAATATTAATGCTAACTCTAGTATACTTTTATATGATAAAAGTATCCACATATGCATATGAAAGCACTAAAATAGTTTATGAAAATCTCTTGTAAATATTCCTAATTTTACTAAAAAAATAAACTACTCTATAACAATTCACAAAACATTATCTTTTATTGCTTCTATTTTAGTTTTTATTGAGTCGGGATCAATCCTTCTTTATTTTTATCTTTTTCCTAGGTAATTCTAGAGAAGTGTCTTCATCATTTACATCGACTGTGATATGAGGCTAGAGCATGTTATCTTTCCTTGGGCTCATTCATCTTTTGTCTTCTCGTCTAAATTCACAAAGGGATTGAATATATTTCTTATGTTCAACACAAAATTCTGACAGAATGGACTTTGATTTTTTTCTTATTTCAATAAGAATAAATGTTAATTCCATATATATATATATAAATTTTTATGCTTTTAATTTAATACTTAAATAAGTTTAGGAGCTACCTTTTTTTTCTCTGAAATGAATTCTTCTGTTGTGCATTCAATAAAAATTTCTGATGTGTCATAATATTACCTTTTCTCTGTCTGGGTCATTTTCCATGAGGATCTAAACTAAATACATTATATTTTTTATTGTCAATTTGCTTTAGATTATAATATTAATATTTAATTTTAATATATTTATTTCATGAAGAAGGGATATTACTTAACCTTAGTACTACAGCACCGGCGATTCTACAACATTTACCATTTGGACACTTATTATTAACATCTCTATCCACTTTCTTATTGCAGCCTTTGCAAACATAGAATCACTGCTCAACTGTATTATAAATGGTAGTTATCGATTCCTTAAAGGTGCAATAGTGTGCTTGTATATTGGTAAATTATTCTTAGGTTTAATTGTACGAATTTAGAGTAGATTTTCTAAGATCATACCTCTTTTGAATGTTATAATGATTGTATATATTAGTAATTTTAATTTTTGTTGCATTTATAAAGAGCCTTAATGGAGATGCTTTTGTCTTGGCAACTTACTCTGAAAGAGTGCTGCATATTAACTTTACAATATAATATTTTTTTACGGTGTTATATGAACGATTGCTTGGTTTACTTTCTATTCTCTTATTTTTTTCAGTAAGTTGTATCTTTTGGGTTGATATATATTATTGATGCAAGTTATGATGACATGCATATCTCCTCTATAAATTTGAGACAAATATAAGGTGAATTTTATATTTATAGTGGCATTTGATAAGAATTTTAGTAATGAAATATATTACCTTCATATTTAGAGATTTTGAAATCTAATAGTGCTATTACATCATTATCTTTGATCATGTCTTTAAGAATTGATCATTCGTTAGTAATCTTTGATCATGTCTTTAAGAATTGATCATTCGTTAGTAGTCATACCCCTAAATAAAGTCACACGCAGGATTGTGATACTATATAAGAAAAAGTGATCATTCGTTAGTAGTCATACCCCTAAATAAAGTCACACGCAGGATTGTGATACTATATAAGAAAAAGAAAAATGACGATTTTATAATTTTTGCTTACGCAGAGTCATGGCATAGTAATATTTCTTTTATCTTCCATGAAGAATGTTTCTTTCATTGGAACAAAGTTGTTCAATATATTCTTCATGGGGGATTCAGTTAGTGCTTCTTTGATAAATATAACTTATGTTTGTGTTAATTGAAGTGATTCATGAACGTTCCGAATTTCATTTGAAATAAAAACTGCTTAATTCTTTTGAAGGATATCTCTAAATTTTCTGATAGTTCTCCATGCATAAATCTTTGTAATTTTTACCCTATAAATATTATTACCATTAGAGATTTATATTTATAAATTATAATCAATTAATGTTAAGCTGTTATATTATAGCCTTTTATTAGTTTTTTGCGATTTAGTCTTCTATCAATTAATGATACTTATGTATTTTTGCTATTCTAACATATTGATAAAATTATATGCAGTTACTTTAATTTATACAATAAAATTAATATTTAATCTATCATATATTTTTAAAAATTTTATTCTTTGACTGGATATTTTTAGTCTGTTATTATTATAATTTTTTTACCCGCATCAACTTGACTTTTTTTAGATTCTTAAAAAGGATAGTAAACCTTAAATTATAAGTTACATTTATATATCTTAATAAAAGAAATATCAAACAATTACTTTTTTCTTTGCCAAGTTTTAAAATTTTAGCTTTTTATTTTGTGTGATTTTAAAAAATTTAGAGTATTTTGTCTAATTTTTAAAACTTTTGCTTTTTTTGTAACACTTCATGTAATAAACTAATACCACGGAGCTGTTTCATATATTTTATTATTCTTATTTAAATCATCGAGCTAGGATAGGATATAACTATGATTAGATAGATTATAATTTATATTAAATATTTAAAATAGTACATGGTAATTTTGACTATGGAAAGCTTTTTCCGAACTCATGCTTTTAAAGGGAGTATGATTTTTGTTTACCTTAATTTTTCTTTTTTATAATTTTGAGAATGGCTTTTGTCTCTTTAATTTGTTTGGTAGATTTTATAAATATCTTATCAACATTATGTACATTTGTAGGTCTGCGTTATTCCTAGGTTCAACCTTTGGGGCATACATTATTTGTCTCATTAATTTATTTGGTTTTTGCATATATGTCATTTATTTTGTAGACATTTATAAATATTTGAATTCCAAGGGTATTTTTGTCTACTGAAAGATTTTATTGAACTCGTGCTTTTAAAGAGAGTATGATATATATAATAATATATTAACATATATATATATAATATATATTATATATATATTATATTTATATATATATATATATTATATATATATATATATATATAACCGGCTGCGCGCGCACACCACATATAGTAATATATACTATATATATATATAAATATATTTATATATATATATATTATATATATATTATATATATCTTATATATATATATATATATATATATACTATATTATAATATATATATTATATATTAAACGCACCGTTCCTACCTCTATATATTTTAATTATTAAAAATATATAACTTATATATATAAATTATTAATATATATATACTCCGCTCGCTGCGCACACGTTATACTCTGACGCATACGCGCGCACACACAATATGTAATAATATTGTAATATATATTATATATATTTATTATATAAATATATATATATTATATATATATATATATATATATATATATTATATATATATATATAATATATATATTATAATATGAGATTTAATGTGGTATCCTGTCATTAGGGTATTTCCATTCCCCCTTGACGCCTTCTAAAAATCACATGTTGAGACATTGTGGATGATCCGCTCGTTTGAACTTGATCACATATTCATTCTAAAACCAAACACCAAGTTTGGGTGTGAACCATCGCGTTGACCCTTCCATCTCGCTCAAAATTATATATGAATATGATATATATATTATATATATATATATATATTTATATATATATATATAGAGAGAGAGAGAGAGAGAAGAGAAGGACGATGAGAGAGAGGAATGGTATGCTCTACCAAGCACAAAATTTAGCTTGGTAGTAAGGTGGCATATTATCCTCCATCACTTCAAATGCGCGGGGACCACATTCACAATTGGTTGAATGTGTTGTCCACCAATGTAATAAATGGGTATCCGGGGAATGAGACACCTCATCTACTAAACAACGCCCCCCACAAAATTATGTTCTGTGGGGCCGGTTACCAACATACCATTTTTCTCATAATATATATATATATATTATATATAGTATATATATATAATTATAATATATATAATATATTTATATATACATATATATATATATATATATATATATATATAATATATATATATAATATATATATATAATTACATACATACTACAATTATATATCATATCAAATCATATATATACACATATATATTATAATATACAATGATATATAGATCATCTATATATATATATTAATGTTATACTATATAATATATATAATATAATATATAATATATATGTATGATATTATATATATAATATGGATATTATATATATGTAATATACTATAGTTATATATATATATATATGATAATATGTATATATATAATAGTATAATAATATATACTTATACATATATACTACACACACATATGTTATTAAAAATTATTATATATATTATATATATATATATATTTATTATATATATATATATATATATTATTATTATAATATTTATATATATTATATATATATATATTATTATATAATTATATAATATATATTATTTATTATATAACTATATTATATATATATATTATAAT